TGGGGGGTGGAGGTAGAAGCTTGTTCTACTTTTTTTTCCCTTCGAAATTAGGTTTATTAATCATTCGGTTCACATGCGTGTTAATGTTGTTTGGTTTTTGTATATATTTTTTTTCATTTAGTTTGTATTCGTCCTAAAAGAAATGTGTAGGCTAGGCACAAGCCCTTATAATCAGCATCACACATTTATTATCTGGGTAAGGGTTATAAAAGATAAATGTAAAAAAAAATAGACATAACAGATAACATCATGTTATGTGGACGTCATTTTTTTAAAGATTTTATTTTTTGACTGGATAATGGTAAAATCGAAACAAAGGTGCTGGTATCTTCTTAATTAAATGTAAATGGCTGGTGCTTGCATAGCCAAATGCTTATATGGAACATCGTAATGAAGCAATTAACCCATGCACCCTCTACTACTACAGTCATCTCTCAAGTCTGAAAGGCTCAGTGGTGTCGACACTTACCGAAACTTTGCTTTCAACAAAATAATACCGAAATACTGTTCATAGGCATGGCTGGGGGAAACAGTTCAAACAGGGCCGGTCCTGCGGTTGCTGGCGCCCCTGGCAAGCTTAACTTTAGCCCCCCTTTGAAGAATAATCATTAAAATATTTGCAAGGTAAAAAAAAAAAAAATTGGGGTTAGTTAATGAGTTTCTTCTTCTTTATTTTGAGGGCCCACGATCAATGAATTGATCATTCTGGCTCCTATGTTTCAGAGTTTGTTACCTATGTTGGGGGTTTTTAATGAACAGTTATATTGTTTTATTTCTAAACTTTTATTTGGACAGTAGAAACTATTAGCCTACCAGTGAAATTTTTTATAGTCTTTAGATCAGTCATTTTTTATTGCACTTTCTATTTCTCTTCCATGGCACCCGCATGCAATGCTTTTTTTTCTATTTTTGAAAGAACGCTGATGACGCCCTAAGCATATGGCGCCCCGGGCAATTGTCCCAGTTGCCGGTATTTCGAGCCGGCACTGAGGACGAATGATTGTGGTACTTAAAATAATGTATCCTATTAAAACTTAGCTCTAGCGTAACGTAGTTAGTATTTCAGAAAATTAAAATATTATTTTCAAACTGCTTCCTTCCTCCCCCCCCCCTTTCCTTTCCCCCTTCCTCAACCCCTAACCCCACCCCCATCACTATTTTGTATGTGGGATGGGGGTCGGTATTCCCCACCATGGGGCCGATCTGAAATTGCTTATAATACTACACTTGAATTCAGAAGAGTACCTAATTGGGCCAGAGAGAGGAAAAGTCCCCAGGCGCCGGACTATTTAGCGATGCCAATATAGGCTTTAATTATGTATTAATGATGAAGAGTTGCCGGGGGGGGGGGGGCTTAAATTGAACTTGTCCGGGGGGGGGGGGGGGGGGGGGGGGCTTAAAATGAACTTGTCCCCGGGCGGCGTCAAACAATCTAGCCACACCTCTGCATAAAACTCGGATTAACCGCATTTAATTAATTTTCTTAAGCTAAACTCGTTTTCAAATTTCAAAATATTTATAAGTATTTTTTTAAAAAATAGTTTATAATGGAACAACAAAATGTTCCTACAGATGGGCTTCTAGCTTTCCAATGCATGAAAATGAAAGTAAAACAACTCTTAGACTTAGAGATGTTCCCGCTCCTTTTACTTTCAGTGTCAATATTCCATCGGGACTTCCCGAACTTATTTCCAGTTTTACAAACTTTTTTGACGTAGCGCGCCAACATTCTGTCCATACATCCATCATCCAACTATCAAGATTTTCAGGGCAACTTTTTAACATGGAGTTGGGGACACCTCAAGTGTAAGCACGTGTATCAAAAATCAACACATCAACAAAGTGTTGTGTTCTGTTGCTGTTAAAGTTTTTTTTTTTGGTGACGTAACAGTAACTGTTCATTTCATGTTCAATCGTTATTTTAAATCGATCGCAAGTTCAAAGTATTGGTTACTAACATTTGGTGAGTAATAATACTTCTCTCATTTATTATTTAACTAAAAACTAAAATGATTTTATAAAGAGCATAGGCATATATCTGAGGTAACCAATTTTTTTTTCAAATCTTAAACCAGAATCATTACGAATGGTCTCAATGGTCACATTACTTATAAACACACATTTCCTCCATTCAAAAGCAGAGAACCGATACAAATCAAATTATCTCTGACCAGCGGTTTATTTGACAAATAAAACTCATAAATAAATTGTCAAAATAATAATTATAAATTATTGCATTAATAATCTCCCACTGAAGAATCTACAATGACCCCATACACCATGACCCCATACACTGTGACCCCCATACACTGTGACTCCATACACTGTGACTTGTGACTCCCATACACTGTGACCCTATACACTGGGACCCTATTCACTACGACACCATACACTGTGACCACATACACTCTTGCCCCATACACTGTGACAACATACACTATGACCCCACACACTGTGACCCCACACACTATGACCCCATACACTGTGACCCCCATACAATATGACTCCATACACTACGTCGCCATACACTGTGACCCCATACACTATTATCCCCATACACTATGACCCATTTTAATGTGACCCCATAAACTATGACCCCATAAACTGTGACCACATACACTATGACCCCATTCACTGTGACCCCATACTCTATGAACCCGTTCACTGTGACCCCATAGACTATACATTTTGTCATATTATATTACAGGCGGAACATTTGGTACAGTTCTCATGTTTGATCAATAAAAGCGTTTTGGCTAATGCAAACTTAGAACTTGACAGTCTTTACTTAGTACTTGACAGTTGTCGAGTATGAGCGTTCATTAGTAATTGTTGCGACTCAATATTATGTTCATTAGTTGTTGAACGCTTTTCCCGCGCTTGACTATTATAGTTAGTGAACGCTCTTCCCGCCATTGTCTCTATGACGTATTTTTATGCTGATTCGTGACGTATTGTCTATGCAGTATTGTGACGTATGTTTTAGTTGTGCTGGCAGTCTTGAGTGGAACTTTGGAGTGATAGGATGTGTATTATTTAGGTCTGATAGCGAGCTGCGCTATATTCACATGTTATGTGTATTAGATTTACTTATACATTTAAGTTATAGTTATTATGAAAAGGAGTTGAGTTTGTTCGATGATAGTGAGAATAGTACGACGCTTCAACGTGTGAAAAGAACTTGACGAATGTAATCAATCCAAGAAGACAGTAGGAGTTGACAACAGTCTCTACTTAGAACTTGACAGTCTTTACTTAGAACTTGACAGTCTTTACTTAGAACTTGACAGTCTTTACTTAGAACTTGACAGTCTTTACTTAGAGCTTGACAGTCTTTACTTAGAACTTGACAGTCTTTACTTAGAACTTGGCAGTCTTTACTTAGAACTTGACAGTCTTTACTTAGAACTTGACAGTCTTTACTTAGAACTTGACAGTCTTTACTTAGAACTTGACAGTCTTTACTTAGAACTTGGCAGTCTTTACTTAGAACTTGACAGTCTTTACTTAGAACTTGACAGTCTTTACTTAGAACTTGACAGTCTTTACTTAGAACTTGACAGTCTTTACACTTATAAAATGGGTTTAGTTTAGGGTGACCAAATCATGAGCTGGAACAAACGGGACACACCTAAGGAGAGTGGGTTGGGGGGGGGGGATACCTTCTAGCTAAAGAAGGGTCCGGGGGCCTCCGCCGGAAACTGTTAATTGAAATACGCTCATTTTAACTATTTTGAGACCTAGAAACCTTTTTTTTAAAATGTAACTCCACTTTTGTAATTTAATTTAAACTCCGAGGCATGTCCTAAACGAAAACGACAATGTTGCATCGTCGGCAGAGGGGTGGAGGGGGGGGGACAGTGCAGCCATCAAAGGAGCCCGCATCACTACTGGCACTGGCTACATAGCCAGCCAAAATATTAGTTGAAGTTGTATAATCAATAAGAAAGTTTTAGTGATTTAAAAATATATTTGGTTTTAGAAACGGGACATTTAGGCGTCCCGAGAGACATTTTCGGGACACCGGGTACGATCGTGAAAAAACGGGACAATCCCGTTTTTACGGGACGTTTAATCGCACTCATTTAGTTGCATTAAATTGAATTTGTTACCATTTCTGTACACTTACGTTTTAATGTGGCCTGTGGCTTGACATACTTTTCACTTCAACTTAGAGCTAATTTTAGCCACCAACACTCGTCTGACACTCGTCTCCCCTTCGTTTTGTTTTGATACTGACGTCGCCGATTAAAGATGCTGTGCCACCCCTTAACCCACACCTCCCTTGATTGTGAAAAGGTTGTTTGCATTCGAATATGTTCTATTTGTTCTAAAGAATGCTATCAGGTGACTGTTTTTCTAAAAAAAATTTTCTGGGTAGTTCTCATTTAATCCTTATATAATATAGGCCGGCAGCCTGGGGAGATTTTTAACAGTTTTTCAAAGACATTTATTACAATACGTTATATAATTGCCCGATTGTACTCTTTACATGTGTGTGGTTAAATTAATATTTAGGATATTTCGAAGATTGTACCCTTTTCACTTGCTGTCAATATTTTTTTTTTTATATATTTATAATTAAATTCCATTTTTTAATTGAAATTTAATAGAATAATTAAAATTGGCTTTTTTTTAGTATCAGTAGCGTTGGTGTCGTTTTCTTTCTATACTGGTTTTCAGTCCTTTTTGGTATGCATTTTTCATTCTAGGGGCCAATTCTAAAGACAGATTAAATTTTCAAAACCATTTAACGGTCCGTAACACATAAATTGAGCTTCCTTGCTTTTAGTATTGAATTCATCACCCAATCAAAATCCTGATAGTAGCAATGTGATATCATATGTACTGTGCAACCCAATCAGTGCTATCATTAAATCTTCCCCAGAAATCCCAGAGCGGCCAGATCTAACACGACTTCCCCCATGACGTCAGACGTGAACACGGAGGTTTCCTGCAGAGCCGCTCAGCGTTTCCGGGAAGCCCAAGCCAGGAGCAAGTTCACGGACTTTGTTGTCCACGTCGACGACTGCAAGTTTCCCTGTCATCGCTTCGTCCTCAGCGCCTGTTCTGAGTTCTTCGAAGCCCTGCTGAGATGCGACATGAGAGAGAGCAACGAGAAGCAGGCCACGGTCGTTGGGATCAGCCCGTCCATTTTCAGACTCGTGCTGGACGCCATGTATGGAAGTTGCACCGCTTTGACAGAAGATAACATGCTGGAAGTCTGGCAAGCTTCTAACCAATTACAGATAGAGTTCTTGATTGAAATATGTGCAAATTTTATCCTAAAGTTAATTAATGTCAAAAACTTTTGGGATATCTACGTCACCGCGGAGTGCTTGGATTGTGTCCAAGTTATGAACGCCGTCAAAACGTATCTTGTCCAAAATTTCTTTGAAGTCGCCAACTCAAGTGAATTTATTCAAATCAGCTTTGATGTGCTCTCGAGAACACTTCCTGATGACAATTTGCCAGTTTGTACAGACTTTGTCGTGCAGTCCATTCTGAAGTGGGTCGACGCCACATCTGGACGCCATGATCAGCCACGCGATTCTGCCGCCGAAACAATCAGTGAACAAGCAGAGAGTGTACAAGTGTCCCATTTTGAACACCGTAAAGATCTGATTGCTGAACTTCTCCGGACGGTCAAACTTGAAAACGTCAGCAAATACTGTTTGGCCGTGCTGATGACGAACGAAACTGTCGTGAGCAATAGAGACGCCATCATGGCGGTCAACAAGTACGTCGCTGGGGATTACGTCATGGGTCAGCACACGGAAAACCAAGAGGACATCTTTCCAGAACTCGGGGGGCTTTGGTACCCCCTTGAATCGGATGAGCAACCGTTTCAATTTTATGAAGCCGCTAAACAGGAAGTGTGCCGCCACTGCACGAGATGATGAGTTTCTATTGGGTGAATGGCGGGAAGTGTGCCGCCACTGCATGAGATGATGAGTTTCTATGGGGTGACTGGTGTGGTCGACTTGAAGCAAGGCCTCTATAAAAGAGTTTAGTGGCGTCACGGTGCATCACTGACTAGCTTTTAAATCATTACTGCAAAAATTCGCTAACCTTGTGTCTTTCTATACATTTAACTTTTTTTCTGGAAAAAAAAAATCCAATACAAACAAATTGGAGCATATTTATATTACTCAAACTTTAGGGCACCTCTTAATTTACTTAGAATGAAAATTTTTTTTTTTTAATTTCCCAACCTTCTAGTGTGTCACTTGGTTCATCCCCGCTACCCTTTTTTTGTACTGTTTTCCCGTAGCCCATGTTTCATATCTCCTAGTGCTGAAACTGACTACAGTCTTTGTCTTACCATACTTTTCTAAACGTAAAAAGGCTTTTGCATTAGGTAAAAGTCACTCCACGTCATTATGCTGTTATCTCTTCTGTATGATACGCTTCTGGTGGACTGCTTCCATTTCCGGCTTTAGCTGTTTGATTCGTATACTGCGTGTTTGGTCTGAGATTATTTTCTTAGCTTTTGCTAAATTCTTGGTATTTTGTGACGTTGTTGTTGTTGTTGTTGTTGCTGTTCGTCAGTCGGGAGTCGACCGTGACAACTTTCATCATCAGATTTGTGCTAGTTCTATCTGTGGGTGCGCAGATGGCTCAAGAGGCCGATTCTGGCACGAAATCTTCGTGTGCAGTAGGTGCAGGGGGAACGATGGGGCATCTCCGGGAGCAGAGTCAGACAGGGCCTTCCTGGCATGTCTCTTGCACTCTGCAGCCGCTGTTGTGCCACTTCGGGTTGCATGGAGCTCCTGTGTAAAGTGGAACGCCATGATGTTCGATCCTTTGCTTTTTTTCCTCCCGCGTGTCTGGGTTTATGTCGAACGCTTTCGGTGACCTGTTAGGTTGTCTCTAAAACGTTTCTTCTGCCCGCCCGCAGACCGCTTTCCTTGTTTGAGCTCACCATGGGAAATTCTTTTGGGCAGACGGTCGTCTGGCATTCTCACAACATGTCCAGCGAAGCTGGGACTGCATTATGATCGTAAAGATGCCGGGGAGACTTGCCTGTATGAGCACCTCAGTGTCTGGGACTCAGTGTCCCCCATTTAATGTTGAGGAATTTTCTGAGTCTAGTTGTATGAAGGTAGTTCAGCATTATCGCATGGCGTTGGTACACCGTTCACGTTTCACCACAAACATAGAGAAGCATAGGGAGAACAAACGCCTTCTATACTTTCAGTTTAGTTTGAGTGCTGATACCTCTCCTGGTCCGTACGGTCTTAGTCAATTTTCCATAGGTTGCACTGGCTCTCGCAGTACCGAGGTTAACCTCGTCACCGATGGTTACGCTTTGGGACAGTGTGCTGCCGAGATAAGAAAAGCTATTCACAACCATACGTCTTTCGTCATGTATTTGGATGTTGGGCTCAACATAAGGACTTTGAGGAGCTGGTTGGTATAGTACTAGTCTTTTTTGTTAATAGTGAGCCCGAAATTTGTGCAAGCATTAGAACAGTGGCGTATATTTGGGTATGGGGAATGGCGTTGTTTCGTATAGCGCGCAAAATATAATACCCGATAATTATCGGTACGCTAAATTATTTATTATTTTTTTAATAACGCGACTGCGTTCTGTGTGTAATATTTTCTTTTCGGAAAAATAAATCGTCTCAATTTAAATTGATCTAATTAATATTCGCATTAAAAGTGGTTGGGACATCAGAATATTTAATATAGTTCATGGGCGTGAACTAAAAAGTGTGCAGTGACGTGTCATAGAGGGAAGGGGTGTAGCGAAAATCGGGATTCTTAAATGTGGGTTACTTGAGTTCATGTTTCGTCAAAGTAAAGTAACTTTAGTAGATGGGAAGTCCACGCATTGCTGTCGCCAAAGTTTGGCGAGCTATAACTAGTAGTTATTATTTAGCCAATTATTTTGTTATAGTTTTTCTTCGCAGTATTAAAAGTGTTCGTCTTTGATTTAACATCTTTATACTTTTTTTAATTCGCCACTGACTTACATTGTTGTGGTGTTGTTTTTTTTTCTTTTTGTTTTTTTTTTACTTTTCCGCAATGCATTTTTATACTTTTTAATAACCCATATTATATTGTTATACTTTATTTAGCCACATCACATTGTTACTTTATTTACGGGTACAAATAAAATGTTTAATTTCATCACATTTATTTTCTTACTTTTATCATTTTGATTATTTGTTTGTTGTTTTTTTAAAATAAAACTTAAATGGAAATAAGTGAAACTAGTTACCGGAAAGCCTGAAAAAAATGCGCAACAAAACAATAAACGTGTCGGCAAAAAGCCTTCTTCGGCGAACAAACAACAGTAAAAATAAACTTTAACAAATAAAATAAACACTTAGCTGCAATGTAGTATCCGAGAGGACAGCAAGAGGAATGTGATAGAGCATTGATTGATTATTGTCGTCCGTCGAGGTCGAGGATCGACGAGGACCTGGTGACTGATGACTTGCGCGGATGACTTTGTTTAAAGTGAAGAAGAGTTGCGCGGCGTCTACCTCACTCTCTCGTCCAAGCCCACCATATCCAGTGGCAAGACTGTACGTCAAGACGATCAGGGATGGGTTCGGTTGCAGGAATTGTCATTGTTTGCGCCTTACGGGACTCCAACTCCGGGTTTGAATTCAGAGTTTCCTTCTCTTAAATGAGTTGCAGACCAAGGTTAACGAGTCTCATCCACCCGGGGTGGCCTTTGGCTGGACTTGAACACCAGACCACCAACTTGAGGTTTGCTCAGTTTAGACCATTTGGCCACCCAGATTGATAAGATACTTGATGTATGCAAATGGGGAAGGAAGAGGGGAAAATCAAGTCGACGGCGATTGGTTGTAACAAGAAGGGGGCGGAGAAAAGATTTAACAAGTGAAGGAGAACATGAAATTCATCGTGGGTTCATTCCATTATGTAGTGTAACAACCTCTTGTTCCTCAGTTTCATGTTAATAGTATTAAATAACAATGTTATTTTAATAGACTTTAATACGCAATTGTATTTTAATTTTCTTTAATTCAAAATTTTATTTTAATTGTCTTTAATACACAATTTTTGTTACACCCATTTGCTTTTTTGTCCACTACATATTGAGTAGCAACTTAATATTTACTTGAACCCGGTACTAAAAATGTCAATAATGAGAACAATTTTGACGCAGCAACAATTTTTACCATTTTTTTAGAATTATTTTCAAAACCTCAAAAAGATATTAATCGAGGAAAACATCCTTTCAGCGAAAATGAGTTTGAAGATTTAAAGCGGTGGTTTGCAAGGGGTTAAAAATAGTAATTTCTTGTTTCAGTTTACTAGGAAGCAAAACAGTGCCGTGAATCGAGACAATCATGAATCATTCTTTAAAAAAGATATTTATTTTTTGCACAGCTTATTAAGTTTTCTTAACTACACGTAAACTAGCTGCTGACAGTGGTGCATTAGGAGTCATACTTACTTTGTTACGCTGTTCATTTTGTCACATACAATTGTTATAACTTTTTCTTTTTCCATGCCGCAGTTAATGTTATAGTCTTCTGGAGTTGTTTTTTGTTTGTTGTTTTTTTACAATGGATTGATAAAATTTGAACTTTTCCGCCCCCCCCCCCCACCTTCTACACGGTTTTCTTAATCAAGATGTCGCATTTAATCTGATACTTTTCTTTTTCATACATTACACCGTTATACATTTTTTTTTTATTTCATATATATTTTAAGTGGTTCCCAACCTGTTCTGCTTCTTGAACTGACACTTCTAAGGGGCCCCCGCACTGATCCAGGATATAAAATAACACAATTCAGTTAACTTATAAGACAAAGAGTCAGCTTAAGGTCACCCCCCCACCCCAACTGGATATTGTTTCTAAATAGGGGGCTTTGCGTCTTAAAAAGTTTAAGAACCACTCAAATAAACGTATTTTTTGTATTTGTCACATTATAATTATACCGTTTTGTTTTGTCAAATAACACTGCTATGATTTTCATTATGCTACATTATATTGTTATATTTTTCATTGTGTCACATTATATTGTTATACTTTTTATTGTGCCACATTATATTGTTATACCTTTCATTTTGTTACCGGTACCGGTACATTTGTTATACTTTTCATATTCATATAACTTTTTCCAATTAAAAAAAAATCCCATTACCTTTTCCTTGTACTTGTCGTTGAGAGCCACGCAGTTGAAGAAATGGCTTGCGCTGTTGGTGTAGATGGCAGGCTCAGTGAATTTTGAAAACACCTGGGCTGTGTTGGAGGTCACGGGGCTGTTGGGGTCCGACGAGGGAAGGTTGTAGAATGTCAAAAATGAAGCAATACACGACACATAACCACGAGGAGCGCATGAGTGGTTCGAGACCCCGAAAACTGGGCCTCCCATGGGCCTCTATCTTGGGGTCAAACACCAACTTCATGCGGGCCTCTATCTAGGGGCCAGTCACCAAGTTCCTGCGGGACGCTATCTTAGGGTCAGACACAAACTTCCTGCGTGCCTCTATCTTAGGGTCAGGCACAAACTTCCTACGGGGTTCTATCTTAGGGTCAGA